ATTTATCTCATTGTCCAACAAAATTATTTAAACATAATCAAAAATACATAGGCCTATTTGAAAGTTAAGAAATATAATTATATTTCTCATTATTAGTTGATTATACATTATTGAAATACTGTAACCTTAGAAAATGGAGGAAAGAAGCTTCTTTGCTCCTTGCTTAAATCTAGGCCTGACAGGCGGTCGTGATTGATTATGAGCTGTATTCTTTGATAGTTTCTCATTTGTTCTTGCTAACATTATACTTTTGTAGTAGGCTTATCAGTTATGTAGTTTAATTTTTGTAGTAGATTTGTACATTAGACTTTACAAAAATAATAATAATGCTTTCTTTCGTTGTCCAATCTATTAATGAATAGTCATACCTGTTTATTTCTGATTCCACTCGAGCGTAAAGCCAATAAATGTTGAGAATGATCATCTAAATTGTTATCATTACCATTACAAAAATAAGGCCTATCATATAAACAAAGAGCAGTGTGTTGCCCTATAATCATATAAATTAATTTGGGTTAGATTAGAATTATTGGCAATATTAAGAAATCAAAATCAGGTTTTGAATACACTATAGGAAATAGAAGCCAAAGGAAACATATTTCCTGAAAAGATTGTCTGAGTTGGGGATCGATGTACTGCAGTAAAATCACCCAAGTATTGAGCAGTGCAAATGAAAGTGATGATGACGACTTATAAAATAAAATACTACTGTAATTCAAATAAAGGCCTCAGTGATATATAATGTTGTAATTGGCCTATAGGGGGACTTATTAGGGAATTATAATAGTAAAAGGTAAGAAAATTATGATTATATTTTATATTTTGGACGTAACAATTACTTTTTTCTTTATATTAAAATAGATAGTCTTTATATTCGTTCGATATTTGAAATGTCTTCTGATTGAAACGTACGGTATTATAATACCAGCTCCTGTCAGTACAAAATGAGCATTATACTTGATGTACTTATGGTTATGCGATAAATGCCATCTGGCCATCGGTCTGTTTTATAGTCTACAGTGTCTAGCGATTGCGTTTATAAGTTTATTTGACATTTAAAATGTGTTTTTATCTATGAATACACAATAAAACTAATATAGACTATATTAACAAACGACTGAATCGTTTTGCTGAATTTCATTGGGAAGAAAGCATTTCAGTTGCAACAACAATTTTTTATATATTAATTAAAACATCGAGCAAATTATATAAAAATTGTGAATCGAAATATCTTCCAATAGTATCATCGTCTTTATCATAGTTGACTTCATTGTGTGGACGTCACAGATTGGATTATTGAGAGAATATGCCGACTGATCAAGAAACACAATTTATTTTCTTCTGTAATGGACGAAAGGTGTGTACCATGCTATAAATATTATTGTAATATTATTATCGTTATTTTTGCTATTATGCCAAAAGCTACATTTGTTCTAGGTGCGTAAAACCCTACATTTTTGACTGGACACCTATCGGCAACCGCCTGCTTTTGCGATGTATTATTTAATGTGCACATTGGCTATAATATTTAGGCCGCAGCTAATCGGGGGAGGATCTGGCTTTAAATTTAGGGGTGGGGTGTCAAAATGTTTCCAGAAAACCCCAAAAGACGGTTGTGGAAAATGTTGATTTCTAGATGGCTGATGGCGGGAAATGAGGTTTTCCGACTTCTGAGGTGTCTTTTAAGTTCTTCAAAATTCAAGGTTTTCTCCCTTGAAAACGATTCCATGATAATCAGCATACATAGGCCTATTCTTTTTGCCATTAATCGATGAACCCCAAAAAGAAATCCCCATCGGTCTGGTCAAGCGCCCCACCCCCAATCGGCCAAAGCTCGTCGGGCAGTCGGAAAAAAAAGGCCTAGTGTTTCTATCCCAGCCATTTCCGGCCATCTAGAAGTCCCGGCCATCTAGAAATCCCTCAGATAATGCTACGCGCTATAGTTACACCCATTATACTTAGCGCCCCACCCCCCCCCCAGTCGGACATCTTAGTCCTCCCCATAAATTATATTCTAGAGCCGCCACTGCTTATTCTTCCGTGTATAAAGTGCAAGTAACACGTACAATGCAATATGAATAACAATGACTATTAGCCCTATTATGTTTATACGAGTTTATGTATATTGTGAATGTACATATAAAGTGAGATGTAAGGCTAATAAAAAATAAATAAAACATGTATTATGAATACACAGGGTACAATATGATATGAGATAAATTTAGAAAATAAGAATACTAAGCTGTATGTGATGAATAGGCCTACAACAGTTTTACAAATTAGGAATGGTAAATTTGTATACAAAGTTCCGATCGTAATGCAGTTTCAATAGTAAGAAGCAGGGGTGGTGCCAGCCCCCCCCCCTCCTCCGTCGGGGTGGCGCCAGGCCCCTCTTCGGGGATAGCTGCGCCCCTGATCAAGAGGAAACAGTCATTAAGAACAGTAGGTAGCGGTAGCATTTACTACGAGGAAATGGGAATTCCGAACTAAGCAAAGCACATGCGGCAGTTACCAAAGAACGTCCGTAAATTATCTATAAAAACACAGTGAGCATGCGCTTGGAAATGCAATACAGGTATTTATCGGAAATGAAATTAAAATAATATTAAATTACCTCATTATCGGCCTACCCTTCGGAATTAACTTAAGTTTAAGTAACATAACAACATTCACACATAAGATAAAATTGGAATTGCCTGTATAAACAAATTGAATAAGGTAGAGATGTTGCGGTGTTTTTTTTAATAGGAAATATTTCTTATTATTAAGGCAATTTTGGGTTTATGGTAGAGGGACCATGTAGGCATTCCTCCATGAACTGAGATCTACCAGGTGATATAGGCCTATATACTTAACAGAGCAATAAGAATCAGGGAAATCAATTTGAGGGTGGTCGTGGATCAATGTTAGAATGAGGTACGTTTCTTCTCAGGGGTCCAGCTCAGGTCTTACAGCGGAATACATATGTTTACCTATATTCCCAAAACAAAATATGAAATAATTATGATAATGATGAAAGGTAACAATGATATAATGATGTCAATGATCATTATGATGATGATGACGACGATAATGATGACGGATGGTGTAATGATGTTGACATAGGCGGTGGCATGGCTTGAGTGATGGAATAATGCAGACTGAAGTGAAGTGAGTGCAAACTGGAAAGGGCCCCGCGGTTAGTGTGCAAAGACAAAAGGCAGAGAAAACTATCGGTTTTTATTAAATACAGACAAATTTGAGTGGTTTTTATATTTAGTCTTATATAATAATTCCAGAGAGCGAAGCGATCAATGCTGTTTTAAGGAATGCAGGGGGACCTACGGTTCTGATGATGTGGCAGATAAGTTTGAAAGATTCTTTATCGTTTAATCAGGGATTAGCTAAATAACAACTCCCTGGTTTAATTACGTCCCAAGCAGAACGAGCAAGAATTACGAGGTCAAGTTAACCAATTTCCTGGAACAAGAGGATTCCCAAGTGCCCGAATGAGGTCAAGAAAATAAAAAGTCCCAGGAAAAAAAATCGACAGTCGGTATCCCATTCTCCCCCGGCCGCCCGACAAGCCTGAAGACCACCCCACCAACTATAATTTGCAGTATTATATAAGGAAAACAAAAATACTATCAATCCAGGTTTTTGATCTATGCATTGCGTTATTAGAATTTTTTTATAAGTGGGCGGTGCCCCAAAGATCTGGGGCCCACTGGAGGTCGGGGTCCTGGTTCAATGAACCGCCTGAATCTTCGATAGTTACGTCACTGTACCCAACTCGAGATTCTGTCAGCAAAGAGTTGATTGAAGATTTCTTTGGCTCCAGTTTTGTAAAATCATCGCCTTTATGTATGTTTTCAAACTAAATTGTTGCTTATTTTCAGATTACTGACAACAATGTTGATCCAAGCATGACGTTGCTCAATTATCTGAGACTGAAATGTATCCTAGGTATTGCAAAAAAGTCACAAGTTCATTTTAGGATTTCTTAATATACATAAAAGATCTTAAGATCTTTGATATAGATGTAAGTCATTTAGATTCAGTTTCCTTAACAAGGATGAACAATAATAGTGAGGTTGACAGGTTCCAAGCTCGGCTGTGGTGAAGGAGGGTGTGGAGCCTGTACTGTCATGGTATCAAGCTACGACAAGAGGACGAGGAAAATAACGTAGGCAACTAAAATGTCTCTCTTTTCGGAGTTACTGCCTTTTTGTTTTATTTAACAATAGGTCAAATTAGTGGATCTTCTGCAAAAGGTTGAATTTCACCGCATAGGACTCACTTGATTTCATTTTTTCCCCGAATGAAAATTTTGTCTTAAAAGATTAAAAATTTTTAATGAGGATCCGTTTAGATTGCCACTGACAATCTGCAGACGGCGTTGCGTCGTCTATCGCTCGCCGGAAGCAAAGGTGGATTCGTCGTGCGACGGTCGTACGACACAGAGAGTGTCCGGCCTTAGCTTATATCCACTATATCACTTTGTAATTAATATTTTACAATTACTACACAAAGTAGACCTACAGTGCTTGTTCTGAATCTTAGGAATGGAGGACCCATGATGATTACGGTACGTGTTCTTTTAAATACAATAATATGAATGAATGCAAAATGTCAGCACATGGGGAATTAGTATAAGTAGCTTGTATAGTAAGATTACGTTACTAACGTTTTTTACTCTTCAAAGTCACATCTCAGCAAACGCGTGTTTGACCCCAATATGCCACATTCACATGATGGCGGTGACAACAGTAGAGGGCATTGGGAGCTTGAAGGCGGGACTACATCCGGTTCAGGTAATTTGTATAATGTACCAAATTAATGTACACCAGTCAATGTATTCACTGTGGCTGTTTTGATTATCGTCCATACAATTTTCTCAGTGATAACTTTAATATTTGACCAGCTCCTAGACAAAAAACGATAACAAATACGAGTAACGTTATTCGTTGTCGTTATTCCTGCCTACGATTTTTTGGTAATATTGAAAATACTAACTTTTAAGAGTAAACAATATTAACAAAATAATTTGATCACTGATGGAATATGTATCGTACCAGTAAAAATCACGATTGTGTGTACTATTTTGTTTAAGTCCATGGCCGGCGGAACCCGGGGGGCAGACGGGGGAGGATAGGAAGGGGAAAGAGAGTGTTCCAGTCCCCAACCGAGTTAGATTTTCTCGCAATTCACATTTGCGCATATGAGGATCAGGGGCTGTCTCTTATACACATCTAGATGTGTATAAGAGACAGGTGTTTATATTT